CCACACTATGCTCTTCCAAGCCTGCCAAGACTTTGAGCATGCTGTGCTCTCTGCAGTGTCTCTCCCGCATCCCTTGTCTGCCCATCAAACACAAACTCATTCTTCAAGACTCAGTGTACATGGTACCTCCTCTAGGAAGCTGTCCTTTAAGCTAAGCACTAGGTTCATTTCTTTCTCTATTACAGTGTCTCTCCCGTGGCTGTAATTATTTGTTTATAGGCCGATCTCTTCTACCCTATTGGCTCCAAATGCATTTTATAAGAAAAACTTAGAGAGGGAGGGGGGTGGGGGAGGGGATAAAAATGTGACTCCGAGTGAGGCCTGTGCACAGTGATTAGGCCCTGGGGACTGTCACAGCTCTTGGGATCACTTGGAATCGAGGCTTTCCAGATACCAAACCAGAACCTACACAGGCCACAAAACCTGTCTGGGGACTGCTGCCTTGGGGGGGGCGGGGAGGCTCTTGCAGGTCCCATGTATTGGGGTGCCTTTGAGATTAACACCTAGGATCTAGGGGCACCTGCGTGGCTCAGTCGGTTAAGCATCTGCCTTTGGCTCAGGGCATGATCCCGGGGTCCTGGGATCGAGCCCCTTGTCGGGCTCCCTGCTCAGGGGGAGTCTGCTTCTCTCGCTCCCTCTGCCCCTCCCCCCTCATTCTCTTTCTCTCTCTCCCTTTCTCTCAAATAAATAAATAAAACCTTTAAAAAAAACAAACCCACCTAGGATCTAAATGAAGGAGGCAGTATTGGTTCAAGGGAAAAGCTGGGCTGTGACACTTGTCCTAACAACAGCCTCAGCTCACCCCACAAGAAGCTCTGGAACTGGATTGGTCCTTCAGAGTTGTTCTGAGTCAGGGTGAGGAGACCAGGCACTAGATGCAGGCTGCCTCCGGGCAGGGCCTATGGCCTTGGGCGAGGCCCAAAAAGGACTGGCAGCCAGCAGCACTCGGTCCTGGGGGAACCTGGGGGGACATCACCATGTCTACCACAAGAGCCTCGTCAGCGCCTCCTGCTCTGAGGCTTCAGTGCTGGGGAGGCGGGGAGAAGAGATCAGTGATTTGCAGGGCAGAGTGTGGCGGTCAAGACTCGGTGACTGGAAGAGCCTGCTAAACATCTGTGAAAAGAATAAATGGCTGAGGGGCGCCCGGGTGGCACAGCCGGTTAACTGTCCGACTCTCGGTTTCAGCTCAGGTCATGATCTCAGGGTCGTGAGATCGAGCCACTCGTCGGGCTCCCTGCTCGGTGGGGAGTCTGCTTCTCCCTCTCCCTCTGCCCTTCCCACTCGTGCTCTCTCTCCCTCCCTCTCTCTTTCAAATAAATAAAAATACATTTTTTTTAAAAGGGAATAAATAAATGGCTGAATATGATGTTCTAGGCACTGTGCTTAGAGGCAGGGAGCCAGAGACAAACAAGTCACAGGGAACTTCTGGTATAACCGGGATGATAGATATGTAAAGAGACTCTTCCAGAACATTGTGGTAAGTGCCACAATGTCTACTACAGACCGTGTGTCCACACCACTTTGTTCTTGCTTCTCTTGGAGGCCTTATCATAGGACCCTTCTAAACAACCCTCTAGGGCCTGATTTATTGCCCTCACTCTACACGTGACAACTAAGATCCGGGGCTTCACTTAAATATCAACCGCTGGTCAGAATCCCCCAAGCCATGCTGGCCCCCTGAATGGTTCAAGCCCCACAGCCCGTGCCCTCTCTGCCCTACACCACCCAGCCCCTCTCAAAGCCACGCGCAGTCCTTTGCATTTGGCAAAGTGCTTATTACATATATTTTGCCTTGTCATAGCCCTGTGAGGGAGCAAAATTAAGGTGTCAGAAGAAAGTAGGCTTTTACCTTTATTTTCTTAACCTGCCTGCTATGCTTTCAGAAATAGATATATTCTGATCATATTTATAACAGTGACATTCTTTTTTATTCTGCTTTTCTTTTTTTTCTACACATTCTTAACCACCTGTGAAATTCTGCCATTACACTCATCTGTTCTTCCGTATCTTGTCTCAAAAGTGAGAAAATTGTGATCAAAACCCACTTAGTTCCTTTTGAGCTGTGAGGGGGGAAATGGGTTGGTTTTTT